CCCCTTAAATGGAGATTTCAGATGGGCTTAGAGTTTGGGCTTTCCAAGACTAAAAGAATTCTACAGCTGCATAGAGGTGATAACTTGCAAACATTACAAGTCTGTTTAATGCTACTGAACTGTACATTTAAAAACAGTCAAGAAGGGCCTGGGGTATAGCTCAACGCTAGAGTGCTTGCCTGGACTGTGCAAGGCCCTAGGTTTGATCCCAGCACTGCAAATAAATAAAAAGGAGAAGGAGAAGTTGTTAAAAGGGTGAAATTCATGCTGTGTATAATAAATGTATATTTAGATAGAGTCATTTTTAGTATACATGTGCTCTGTGAAAGACCTGATGTAGGGGTCTAGAGGCCCCCATCCTGTTCACGTATCCACCTAGAGATTTCAGAGGACAGGCTGACTGACTGGCTGGTGTCCCTAATGTGTCCCGTCACAATACTTTGAAGCCACAGATCTGCTCTGAAATGCTCAGCACCCCCATGGGAGTAACGAGTAGAAGGATAACTACTTTACCCAAGCTCTACTTTTCCTCAAGGTAAATATCACAGGAGTGACGTGAATTATAAGAGGAATGGAAGAAAACGAACAATATTGCGTCAGGAGGCAGATTCAAGGACTTTGGAAAAAGATCCCTACACTCGGAGATGGAGCTTCAGTGTAACACTGGTGGCCTCTCACTTGTCTTATTCAGAGCTGCCACGGGGCAGTGGGCCTCAGCAGTGCCCCCCACGAAGTCTTTGTCGGAACATCCAACGAATAGGCGTCTCAGTTACTTTCTCGTTGCTGAGGCACAGGTCTCAGCACCCACAGCTGTAAGGAGGAGGGTGCTGTCGTGGAGCACAGCCTGTGGAGGTTTCAGTGCAGTCGTTCGGCTTCAAGGCACAGTGGCGTGGCACAAGAGAGACGGTCCGCGGCATGGTGGTGGGAAGCAGAGAGAGGTCAAGGGAGGAGTGGGAGAGATGTACTCCCTTCCAGGCCATGCCCCAGGGACCACCTCCTGTGACCAGGCTTTGCCTCTCACGTCACAGTTATAGGCTGGTCAGCAGGTTAATCCACTGCTGAGCATCATACCCCAGAATTCAGTCCCTTATGACCACAGGAGGCTTCGGGGGACACTGGAATATGAGCCTTAATGGTAGGGATGATCAGCTCTTTTGAAAACAGAAACTACAAAGTGACTGTCAGGAGAGGGCTGTCACAGAACTGACCACTCGTCAGCCCTGAGATGTCGGTTTGAGCAGAAGGTGTGGCAGTCCTGTGGGGAGACTCTGGCTTGCCTGACTGTGAGCTGATGTTCTCTGTCCCTAACTTGAGCTGGGAATGCACTTGTCCTTCAGAAGAATGCTCAGAAACATTCTGCTTTTCTTACAAATGGCTCCAGCTGAGTGGGTGTGTACTGCTTTGCTGCTAGTTCATCCGATGCAATGTAGGTTATGTCACTGTTTTCATTTTAATCAGGCAGACAAATCAGAATTGACATATTAAAAATTCCAAGCATTCGTTTACACCAACTGGACTCAAGATATTTATTAGAATGATTTATTCACATTAGTATTTTTTTATTAAAGGCATTTATCTCTGCCCCAACAGCTGTCACCAGATCCCAGCTTTTTATGACCGGTCCATGCCAGGCTGCACATGAATTTTCTGTCCTGAGACCTCCACAGTGGAGGTTCCCCTCCCCAAGAGTGCATTTTATTTCACTTATTCACCCGCTGCACTAAGTGGGTGGCTGAGGCCAGTTTCAGCTGCTGGCAATCCCCACGATGGGTACTTATTGAGGGGGACCCTGGCCAGCATCTAATTTTGACATGTGGCTGGTTACTGTACCTGGGGGAGGACACAGGGGATTTAAAGGACATCTTCATTTAAGATTCAGGGAGTCCCTAGCCCACATGGGCCTCGATCTGTGTGGATTTCAGATGCTGCCCCCCCCGCTACCAGACCCCTTCCCATCCCCCGAGATGAAAATCAGAGCACCAGATGGACTCTCCCAAAGAGGAACATCACAAGCCCACCCTCCTGCCTCTTTTGAAATCCATCCCAGCTGTTTATCATGAGATGCGGTTGTCATGGTGATAAGCAGAGCCCACTGGGGAGGGAGTCAGAGGTGGAGGATGAAGTCATACCTAAGGCAGCCCTGTGTCACACCCTGTATGTGGCCCCACACCCAGGAGTCTCTCAGGCTGGGGTGCTGACATCCAACCGGTGACCCCTGGCTGAGCCAGGAGCCCCGATCTGAAGTTGGACAAATGATGGCATGATGGCAAAACTTGGCATGAGGACGCCACTGGCCCTAAGCCCGTGGGGGTCCAGCCTCCTGTTGCCTTCCCACCCCCATATCTGGTGCAAAGTCTGTGGCCCTCTCTCTGCCTAAAACATTAGACCCCATCCGCAGCTGTAACAACCGCTGAATGGGTGTTGTTACCTTGCGTTTCACTGGTTGGTTGGGAGATTGGTTTCTTTGGGGGGTTTCTCGGAGATGAGCAGAGCTCCCAGCAAGGCACAGCAAGGCTTCAAGAGATGAAGTCTATGTGGGCAGCTCACTATGTGGAAAGTTCCAGATAGGAGGGTAAATACCAACAGCAACTGCACACAGCGGAGCTGGCTGGGCCATGTCCGCACTTAGACTTCTGCTGAGGGAGGTGGGGAGCTCCTTGGGGTGAAGCCGCCCGGTGGCGTCCTTTGGGAGCTTTGGCTTGGTGTACCTCGGGGTGGGGGAACCCTTGGAGAGAGTGGTCCCCGGGCAGGTCATCCTGAAGGGAGGGGCTCTGTCCGTGTGGCCTGGTAGCACGGTGTGCGTTTCAGTGCAGATCCCACTTGCACAAGCCCTCCTATTGGGGGCGGTGGGTTCTCTTCCTGGGTTGGGGGCTTTGAAGGGCACAGGAGGGTCCCAGCAGCCCCAGACAAGCTGGAGCTCAGCCCAGGAAATACCAGGACAGCAGGGCAAGGGCAGGGCCCACCTGTGTGGTCTGGCCTGCCTGTCCGCCACGGGTTCATGTGCTGAAGTTTAACCCTCACTGTGTGATGTTAAGCGGGTGGAGACTTAATCTAACCATAGTGTTCACAGGGTGTAGGAATAGGTAGAGTCATCCGGGTGCAGCCCGCACAAATGAATACCAGCGGCTGTAGAAGAAGAGACAGAGTGACCAAAGAGACACACAGGCCCGCTCTTCGTCATGCCCTGCACTGTCTTAAAACTGCCGGCAAAAAGGATATGGCCACATGGAGGCTCCTTTACCTGCAGATCTTTGATCCAAAGGAAACCTCTTGTTTTTAAAACTTCCCAGTCTGGGATGATAGTGTGCTGTCAGCAACAGGAATGGACTCCCGCAGGCTCCTAGCAGAGGGATGGAGGAGCTGAGGAGCAGCCAGACATCTGACCTGCTTGGGTCAGCTGTGTCCCTGACACCCTTCAGTTCCAGGAAGGCCAGCCAGCCCTGTGCACCCTTCCCGGATGTGGGAGGGACACTCCCTTCTGCTCCCTGTCCTTAAAGGCCAGGCCCACTTCCCTTTCTGGCCCACCCACTTCTGCTCCATTCCCTTTGAAACCCAGTGGTAGCTATGATCATGGAAGGGTCTCTTAGCTAAGACCTAAGAGCTAGGAGTCCTTCTGCCTGCTTGGTGTGTGACATGTCTGTTGCCATCAGTTTCAGACAGGTGGGCCCAGGTTCTTTCACTTTTCTGTAAACCATAAGATGGGTGGAATTCCATCACAGAACATGACTGTCAGTCTAGAATGGGGTGCATTTTGCTGTGTCCCTTAGCAGAGAGCTACAGTGCTCGAAGTCTCAGTTTTTTCACCTCTAAAGCAAGAATAGAAATAGCCATCTCCTTGGTGAAAGGCTCTTATAAACCCTAGAGCACTAGGTACATGTAATTATCACTGTTGCTGGCACCCTGTGATGTCTGCTTGGTAGTTTATTTCCAGATGTCCTGGGGTTGAGACAGTGGTTTGGATCTTGCTTCTATCCTCTGGGTGGTGTAAGGAATTACAGAGTGAAAATATACCCAGGCCCCAGATTTTGTTAATCGAAGTAAAGAGAATTATGGATTGATATATTTTTTTTAGGAGAAGACTTGTAACATGTTACCTGAGACATTTTATTTCTGGTAATAGTTGACTGGCTAATTTGCATTTATTCTCATCCAAAATATTAGGAGTTTAAAAATATTATTGGAACCCTGGGAACTGTTGCTAGGAATGTGTAGTGGGAAAGTGTATGGAATATCCTCAAAAAATTATAAATACATTTACCATTGATTTGGTGATTCAACTTCTGAGTATGTATCCAAAAGAATTGAAAGCAACATCTCCAAAAATGTTTGCACACTGGTGTCCTTAGCAGTATTATTCACAGTATCCCAGAGGTGTCCACCAGTGGATGAATAGATAGATACAGCGTGGTACATATGGGTGGTGAAATTGTTCAGCCTTAAGGGTGAAGATTCTGATGCATTTAAACGAGGATGAGTCTTGAAGACATTATGCATAAATGAAGTAGGCCAGTCCCCTAAGGACAAATCCTGTGTGATTCTGCTTCTCCCAGGTACTCAGAGTAGTCAAATCATAGTGCCAGAGAGTGGTGGCTGCTCGGACCGGTGAGGAGGGAAGTGTGCAGCTGTTTCATGGGCACAGAGTCTCCGCTTTGTGAGGCCAAATGTGTGGTGGTGATGGTCACATAACTGTGGGAATGTGCGCTACATCCTTGAAAATGGTTCAAGTGGTGAATTTCATGCTGCCCATACTTGATTATAACTAAAGACAATAATAAATAATAAAAAATTAAAATGATTTAAAAACCTTCTTAGAAGCACAAAAGTATACTATTAACTGAATAACAATTTGAGTAAAGATATATGCATGCCCATGCACAGACACTCAGACACATGCATCGCCTGCATTTTATACATTGAATCCCATCAAATGTCCAGGTTTTGTATCCTTGGCTCACCTCTCTAATATATAAAAACACAATACTTAACTTCCCATTTTCCAGGTTTGCAATGGCTTGGAGCAGCCCAGGAAGCAGCAGCGTTCGGATCTCAATGGACCCATCGACAATAACAACATTTCAGAGGTAATTTTTTCCAAGGATGCAAGTTTGAGGCCAGGGCCCTCTTCACGGAGTCGCCTGCCCCTGCATGGTCATATCAGTATCCACAAAGTTCATATCCCACCCTGAACCTGGAGAGATGGAGTCCAGGACAGGTGGACTTGGGCATCGCTGTTGGAGGAGGGGAGGATTCCCTGGCCTGGGAGGAAGGAGGTGAGGCCCTGCCCTTGTGATTCACAACCACACTGTGGAGTGTTCATGTGCTGCTGATGGTGTGCGTGTGTGGGAGGGGTTATTGGTGCTCCCTGGTGGGATAGAAAATCCTCTGCCCCACCACTGCATGACAGTGTTATAAGCTGAACTTCCCAACAGTGGCACCACTGACATGTAGGGCTAGATGATTGTTTGGAAGGTTATCCTGAAGACTGTGGATGTTTATTATCATCCTTGCCCTCTGCCCCTAGAGTCTGGCCCTAGTTATGACAACCAGAAATGTCTCTGGACATTGACATATGTCCCCTTTGGAACAAAAATCATCCTGGTCTAGAACTACTGTTCTTAACTAACAGCATGGTTTTAACAAACCATTCCATATAAATCAGCACTGCTGTGATGGAGATTATTAAAGTGAAATGGAAGCATGCCTTCTCACCTCTAAAATAGTGGAAATATCCACTTTCTGGGCAACATGGTTTAGATAACATAGGCTAGTTTGAATGAAGTAACTGTGGCTTTAAAAGACGGCCAGGAAGTTCTCATGCCCACATGATGGAGAGCCATTTGGTCCAGTGGCCTCTAGGTACCTTTCTGGCCATGACTAAGTAACCTGAGCGTGGCCTGAGGTTTGGTCAGTGGGCTTCTGTGCCCTTCTCAAGTGTCTTGTTGCCTGCCTGAGACTGGCTAGGTATATGTTCTTGAGAACACCAGCCAGTCATGGATTTAGGCTTTTCCCGTGATGGTCCACATCTTAGCCTAGATCTTATGGGCCACCTATTACAACTAGTGTTTCACTTTTTCCTCTTTCCAAACAGACAAAGAAGGTGGCATCATTTCCAAGTTTTGTGGCTGGTAAGTGACTGAATTTTCTTTCTTAGGACACAGTTGTGTTGTATGTCAAGACAAATGGTGATTTTATTAGCGATTTTCTCCCACAGAGCTTGTTCAGAAGCATGCTTTCCAGCAAGGTGCTTGGGCATTTTTTTCCTAAGTGGTGCGTAAGTCCACTGAGAGAGGAGGGAAGGTCGAGCCTATTTGCCTGCTCTGATGCAAGGAATAGAAGACCATTCACTTAATTACACCCTTGCTAATTGCTTCACAGATGACACAGATGCCTGAATTAATAGATTGCAATGTGTCTTACAGCAGCTAATTATGATCTAATGCTTTTGATCAGGGTGGATATAATGGCACCCAAATTCAGGCTGTCAGGGTTTTTTAGACCCTTCATCCCTCATCTTTTTTGAGGAGGTTAACACTGCATGAAACGGACTGCTCTGTTCTGTGTAACTCTTGGGTGTGGGGCTCACCTGCTGGGTTGTGACTTTGTATGGACTTCCTGGGATGCTGTAGGTGCCCCTGTTGGGAAGTAACCCAACATCACAGCAAAGAGCCGGTTAAGTGAGCTCTTTCTCTGTGCCAGGAGGATGCTTCCTGCCCCTGCTAATGTGTTATAATAAACAATGTGAATTATATTAATTCTTTCAATAAGCTGGTAATTAATTCTTATGAATATTTATGGGAACAAAGTAAATCGGCCCTCAAAATTAAATGACTTTAAACCTTTCCAACTCTGCATTTCTCTTTTAGTAAAGCACTGAAGCCTGGGAAACTAAAACATCAAATTCCCTAGTAAGGGACTAGTTTTCAACCAGGCTCAACCAGTTCCAACTGGTTCAAAATGAGGAAACTGGTTCAAACCAATTTGTACTGTTATAACTGGTTCAGTGTTGCTCAAACCAGATAAAAATTGGTTGTGAATTCTCAGATCCTAGACTTGCAATCCAAACAAGCTTGATTCCATTTTGACAATACAAATAGGGTCATTGGGTTTTACCCAGCAGTTTACTTGTGGATTCGAAGTATATTTTTGCCAATTCAAACATCAGCTTATGATGCCTCCAGCTCAGTGAACTAGGTGTAGTTTTCAGGACCTAGTGATTGGCAGGAGGCGACCACATACTCCCATGTTGCCCACGGTAGGGTTTGGTTGGCTTCCTGATTGATAGGAGGTGCATCTCCTAAGCAGCACATCTCTCACTTTTTTCCTTGGAGGTCCAGAGCCAGGGTGGTTGGTACCAGTCACACTGCTCCAGTGAGACAAGGTCTCGTGAACCTAAGAATGGAATTGTGGAATCGTTTAGAAAGAACTCCTTCAAACTGCCTGGGGAGGGAGTGATTTGAACATAAAACTCTCCTGGCTCTCAAACCATGTCTGCAAGAGAGGCGGTAGAGAGGAGTCTGAGAACAGTGCCCATCTCTAAAGTGCCTCTGGCTCTTCCTTCTGACATCCCAGAAGATCCATTTCTCTGGACCACCTTAGACTGTTCCAAGCCAGAGGGAAACAAGATTGGAGCCTGAAACCAATTCAGAGTTGTTCCTATAGAAGAGAAATCCTTTGACTGTTCTGAAATACAGAGTCCTTCAGCAAAAGCACATCCCTTTATATTAGATAATTTATATTCAAGGAAGCCTCCATTGACCAGAATCCTATTCAGCAATGGGAGGAGGTCACTGTAAGGATCATGAAAACCCCTAGAGTATAATCAATGTGAAAGAACCATTCCTGAGTTAAACGTCTTTATCAGTGAGGCATGCACCTGGGTACAAGTATCAAAATAGCCACCTAACATTAGCATGTGTACATGCGGTGGTAGCGCATGTCTAACTTGTGCAAGAAATCTAGAAGTGAGCAGCTACTCATTGGATGGCTCTGTGATGTCAGGACCACCACCATTTTTGCTTCTCTGGGCCTCGTTCTCAGGCTTGTCACCTCCTTGTCAAATAATGTCTGGAAAGCTCCATCCATTGCCTCCTGTTCCAGGTAGGAGGAAGAGAGAAGGGCAAAGGTCCAAGCCCGATGTGTTCTCTCCCCATTTATATTAAGAAAGTGACGCTTTCTTAACATGAAGTGATGGAGTAAATGAATCATTTGCATGAGAGCTTGGCCTTCGGTTGACTGTCCTAACCTGTCCCCCGGTAAGCTGAGCGGTAGTGTGTCAACTGTGTCACCACGCAGCACTGTTTCCGGTAGAGACGACTTTGACTGGTAGACTGTAACCAGGTGAGAGGTGGTGAGTGGCAGAGCAGGGTTAGACCTGAGGAGTCTCAGAGCATCACCCCACACTGTACCACCTGGGCACCCTGCCATGAACCGCAGGGGAGGAAACCCCGGCTCAGACAGGACTTACCCCTCAGTTTCCGGAGGTCACTGGGGGGAACCTTCGTGTGCCAGAGTCCTGGTCCCTCATGCCTAGAGGCACAGCCTTGTCTTACCAGAGGCATCTGCAGGAAGAACTCTCCCCGATCGCTGCTTGTGGGAGATGCTTGGCACCTGGTGACCCTCCAAGACCTGGGAGGCTCGTGCTGCAGAGGGAAGCCTCCTTGTGAAAGAGCTCACTGCACAAGGGCCTTGCTGCCTCACCTTGCAGAGGAATCCTGAAGAAGGGAGGGGTCCCTGCTGTGAGCAATAGGTCTAAGGGGGCCAGAGAGCTGCCGCCCTGAATAAGCATATGCGAAAGTCTATAGTTAGACTTCTGCCTATCAAAACCACAAAGTCAGTACTGGTCCAACAGTGTGCCCGGTGGGCCCTAACAGCACAAAATAGCAAAGACCAATAGCTCATATTCTGTTTTTCCCACTTTGTGCTCCTCCCGATCTGGCATCCAAAGTTCGTGAGAGAGATTCCGGTCCCACCACCCTGTTCACACCTCTAGGCTCATGTCAGCACGGCCCTGGGGTCCTCAGGCTGTCTGGAGTGTGCTGACTTCCCAAGCCATGTGCTGTCACATGGAAGAATGAGGACCCCAGTCCCTGGGACTTCTGGGCCTGGGGCTGAGCTTGCCCTCATCCCTTCCTTCTCTCAACAAGGGATGAAGCCACCTTGTTGATTTCATACAATGGACACTTAGGGCCTAAGGCATAGTTTGCTGTTAAAATGAGCAACTGGAGAAGGGCTGTTCAGACAAGACTGCCAAGTTGAAGGCATCTTGCACCTTCTCCTCTGCAACTGTGAAGGGCTAGGGCTCCTGAGCTGGCCTGGGTCTCACATTCTGTTGGCAGGAGGACCAAGCATGAAGGTTCCACAGGGGGGTAATGAAAAACAAAATGACTTTCTTTTTGTACAAACAGAATTATTTTCCTCTAGTATTTTTTGTAATTATCATGGGTAGGGATTAAACGTGTCTTAAAATAGGAACTTTTATTCATTAGCAGAGGTCTAAAAATACTTCTAAAAATAGTGTTTGGATCGGGCGAAGAACACAGAGGTAAAAATGAATTCCTCCCTGGAACTCCCCACGGAGTATACCTCTTTGCAGCTGGCACATGACAGAAAATTCTCACTCCAGACTCTAGTTTTTGCTGCAGTGGGAGCCACTGTGGAATTGCTTGTAAATCCTTCCTGAAATTCCTGGCCATGCATGCACCAGCCTACGAGACTCTTCTTAAAATTGATATTGCACTGGCTACATGAGTCTGCACTTTGCAATTTCAATTCTTGGTGGAGCCGGGGATTTAGCTCAGCGGTTCAGTGGCCTGCCTCGCAAGCGCAAGGACCCGAGTTCGATCCCTGGTACCAAAAAACAAAAAAAAAACCAAACAATTATTTGTGGATTTTGGAGTCAACGGTAGGTCTGCCTAATTATTTAAGTGGCAGACAAGATCTGTGAAATAGTGTACGAAGCAGCCGTTGTGATCAATGTTAGGTGGCTGCCATTCGGCACAAGAAGGAGCTTCCATGCGGATATGCCTTTTGTGTTCAGCTGGGAGTTCTTTATAGAAGGAGTTCCTGGACAGAGCAGAGTTGCAGAGCTGTAACATGCTAGCTTTGACGGACATGGTCAGAGTGCCTTTCCAAGAGGCACGAGGGAATGCTGTGGTTGTGTCTGGCGAGAGCTAGGATTCATCATACTGTGCTATTCCGCTGTCTGGTCTTAGCCCTATGCTGATGGGCATAAAGGGGTATGTTGTTGGCTTCTTGTGCATATCTTTCATCAGGAGTGAAGTCATATAAACTGTCTGCTTTTCTCTTCTTGAGCCTTGCCATATGAATCCCAGGTTAGTTTTCTCTTGCTGTGACAGAATGCCTGAGATAATCGACTTCCAAAGAGCAAAAGGTTTATTTTGGTTCATGATTTCAGAAGTTTCAGTCCATGGTAAATTGGCCCCATCTCTTTGGGCCTGTGTCAAGGCCGTACGTTATGGCAGGGAGCATATGGTGGAGTAGAGCTGCTCACCTTACTGTGGCCTGGAAGCAAAGAGAAACCTAAGAACGGACCAGGATCCCAGTATCTCCTCAGGGCCCACTCCCAACGACTGAACTTCCTCCCACTCGGCCCTACCTCCTCAAGGTTTCACCACCTCCAACAACACCAGCAGCTGGGACCGTCTTTAGTTCATAAGCCTTGGGGGAAAACTTGAGATCCAAACCGTAAACATGTCCTTTGCCTGTTCTTCTACTGAATTTTCCCTTGGCTTTATTGGAATATAACTGGTAACTAAACATGGTTTAGCTGCCTTTTAGAAAATGCTGTAGTATTTACGTATAACCTACCCACATCCTCTCATATACATTGAGTCACCTCTAGATGACTTGTAACCCCTTACACAACATCAGGGCTGCGTAAGTTGTTATACTGTGTTATGTAGGGAAGAAGGGCAAGAAAGAGGTCTGTACTCATTCAGTACAGATGCACTTATTGAAAACATATTTCAGTCCAGGTTGGTAGAATCTGCAAACATGGAACCTGGGAGAGCAGTCAACAGTAGTCACCACACTGTATATTAGCACCCCGGAACTTATTCATGTCATAATTGACAGTTTGTGCCCTTTGACCAACATTTCCCCACTC